GGTGGCTTCACTACTACAGCCAAATACTCAGGCAGTTCACTGTTGCTATTCTCTCTTACATCCTTCTTCCTCTCGCATTCTCTTCTCCATCTCTCATCATCTTCTACTCTCATATCGCTACTCTTTCTTCTACCTGCTCTCTCTCTTCGGCGCTAATCCGCCGCTCCTTATTGACAACTTTGTGGGCTTCATTCCTGTGGTTCAAATACTCATCTTATCTCTCTCCCATGGTGTCTCTAACATTTTTTTTTATCATAATTCAGCTGGTTACTTTGCTCTTTCGCAACTTAAAACCTTTCTTTTTTCTATCTCTCTCTGCCGTCTCTCTCGCGGGCTCTCGTCTCTCTCTCTCATCTCTCTCACGCTGCGCTCTCTCTTCTCACTCGCCTCGCACTCTGTTTTTCTGTCAAACAAACAAGTCGCTTAAAAAGTCTCACTCTCTTTGTGCTCGGTCGTTCAAAGAAAGAATCGTATCTCTCTACTCTCTTCTCTCCTCCGCTCCTCTTTCTTTCGTATCAAAATTTTCTCCGTTGTTTGAGCTATCGTCTTCTGTCTCCTTCTTTTCTATCGATCTCGTTGAAAGCACAGCATTTCTCAATTTCTTTTATCTCGTCTTTGTTCCTCTCTCTCTCTCTGCGTCGCGCTCTCTCTCTCTCTCTCTTTTCTTCCCGCGCGTTCGCGGTATTTTTTTCCGGCAAAAAAGTGTAGGCTCTCTCGCTCTCTCCTTCCTCTCCCCTCTCTCCCTCTCTTCTCTTCCGCCAATAAGGAGGTTTGTGGTAGTTTGTTGCTTTGGCTGCCCTAGGCCTTCTACGGACCTACGCGTTTACTCGTTCACGAACGTCATATCGAGCCTCTTAATGCTTCACTGCTACTCTTTACTGACACTGTCGGCGCTATCTAATCGCCAACCTAACATGCGTTGTGACAAGTACTTACTGTATGTTCATGTACCAGTGCTCAAAATAATAAGAAAAAATAAATGTTATATTATATGGTAAGAACCACAGGGAGGGGTGTGGTCGATACGTCTCATAGTGCAGAGACAAACCTCCCAAGTACACACACACGCATGACGCACACACGCACACACCACGCACACACAACACACACACACACACACACACGCACACACCACACAACACACACACACGCGCGCGCACACACACAGCGACACTATAAATACACATTGGACTGCACTACGTTTACACACACACACACACCGCGTTCACGCAACAATTCTGGTTTGTCCCAAAAATAATATCTCGCCCAACAGCACTCTACCCATCACACAATATCTACTACAAATCACACAACACTTAACACACAAATTGTCACGCACGCTGATACAAGAACACAATTCAACCCATTAATACACACACACACAAGCATGCCCTCAAAGCGCACAGCGATTTCGCACTCTTGTAACAGACAGACACACGGCAGCGCACACACAAACACAAACAACACACACACACGCACGCACACACACACACACACACACGTACGCACACACACATACACACTCACAGCACACACACACACTCGCAACGCACGCACACGCGACGCCGCACGCACACACACACAGCACACACACACACACAACACACACACCACGCACAACGCATGCTATGTTACACTATAGTTGTAATCCCCGCCAACTCAATATTGCACGCACAACTCAATATTTCAGCTGAAGCGCTAGAATAGAAAAGGCAAACCGTGAGATGATAAGTATTTAATATAAATACTCGCAAATCGCTGTTCTGTTTCGTCACCTGGCGCGACTCATTGTGACGTCGATGAACGAGCTTCATGCATGATATTCCTATTGTCTATACTCTAGACATAGTTACAGAGATGCTTTCA